ATTAGTACCTGATTATATAGTTCAAGGATTAAATGTTCCAACGACCAAATGGGAGAGTATTTTAACTAATAACTTATTACTGAAGAAATCATGTTTGTTTACAGATAGAATTTTGTTATCTGAGTGCAAACTTAAATGAACAGTGGGACCAATCGACGGAAATTAAGATAAGGATCGAGAAAGCAAGATCAGCTTTCGTTAAAATGAAAAAAATCTTTAACAGCCACGATATAAAATTCGAAATAAAAGTTTGTTTACTAAAATGCTACGTATTCTCCGTTCTTTTATATGGCGTGGAGGCATGGACGTTAATTAATATTAAAAATGGAATCATTAAATCCTTATACGATAGAGCCAAAATTGCTTGTTCTAACGGAAATTCGTTCTGGGAAGAAAAACATTTGTTAACATATGTTTTATTAAAAAATGATTATCCTTTATCGTTTATAAATAAGGAATTTTCAACAATCGACCAAATAGAACAGAAGAACAGAACGAGATCCTACAGAATACACAAGGAATAATACGAGGAAAATAACAATACCATACATAAAAAGAGTATCAAAAAAACTTAACAGGATAGGAAATAAATTCAACATTTTAACATCCAAAATAACAAACACATTGAGATCTATTTTATCTAAATCTAAACCTAACAATGAACAAAAAAAAACAAAGAATTATTTTTATAAAATACCTTGTGAATGCCATCAGTTTTATGAAGGTGAAATGTCAAGGCCATTACATGTTAGAATAAGTGAAAATCAATCTTATATTAAAGCGTAGACAACTTAGTAGATTTAGAGTCAGAGATACACGAATGTTTTGCAAATAATCAAGAGACCATCGCAGCATTCTTCGATATCACCAAGGCATACGACACGGTTTGGAGATTTAATATTATATCAAAATTACACAAATGGGGAATCAGGGATAATATGCTAAGATTCATAGAAAACTTTCTTCGGTCAAGAGCTTTCTCTGTTCGCGCCGATAATTCCACTTCATCAAAAAAAAATCAGTAAAACGGAATACCTCAGGGGTCAGTTATGAGACCAACTCTTTTTCTTGTGGCTATCAACGATATACTGGATCACTGCTCCCCGCTAGTTAAAGGAAGACTATATGCCGACGATCTGGTTCTATTTGCAAAGGGCAAGAATATGAGAATGATTCAAAAACACTTACAAGAATCTATTTATAAATTAGAGATATGGTCAATGTCAGTAGGCGTGCAATTCTCCCCAATAAAAACAAAATGCATGCTTTTCTCAAGAAGGCACCGGCCACAGAGAACATCTTTAAAACTGTATGGCGAGCCGCTCAAATTCTCAGAAAAAATTAATTTTCTCGGAATGGTATTTGACCAAAAACTAACATGGAAACAACATATTTTAGAAATAAAAAAGTCTTGCCAAAATGGATTAAATGTAATGAAAACATTATCAAATAAAAAATGGGGATCCGACGAAACCACGTTATTAAATATTTATGTCACTCGTTAGATCAAAAATTGATTATGGGGCTATTGTATATGCCTCCGCTAAAAAACATGTTATCAAGCAACTTGAAGTCATTCAGAACACAGCACTTCGCATTGCCATAGGTGCATTTAGAACCACACCAGTTAAGAATCTCCAATGCCTCACAGGAGAGCCACCTCTTAATCTACAAAGAAATTATTTATGCCTTTCGTATGCAGCATCAGTCGCCAGCAACAAATTCCACCCAGTATTTCAAAATGCATTTACGGACCGTTACCTAGAAGCTTATATCAAAAGTAGGTTCGATCCACCATTCTACGAAAGAGTTCGAAGAAATTTAAAAGATCTACAACTCCAAATTTCTGACCTCTTTCCTTCAAATGTAAAAACTCCACCTCCCTGGTTAATCATGATTCCCGAAATCAATACGACGCTACTCCAATATAACAAATCAGATACATCACCCACTGTAATCAGACAGTCATGTTTTAAAGGAACTCGAGACTTACGGGAAAAGCTTTTGCATTTATACAGATGCCTCCAAATTTGCAAATGACGTAGGAGCAGCATTTGTCACTCCATATTCCTCTTCCCAATTTAAATTAATGCCAGCCACTTCTATATACACAGCAGAATTATATGCAATATTACAAGCCCTCATTCATATCAAAAGTACAAACCATTCTTCTTCCGTCATTATCACAGATTCTCTAAACTCCTTAAAAACAATGGGTCAACTATATACTAAGAACCCTATAGCCTTACTTGTCAAGAAAGAACTTGCTGCCTTACAAGAATCTGGTTCAGAAGTCAAATTTATGTGGGTTCCATCTCACACGGGAATACAAGGTAATGAAAACGCAGACCTCCAAGCAAGAGAAGCTACCAAAAATGATCAAGCTATAAGAGTGTCAAAGACTATCTGCAGTGATATAAAACAGTTCGTTAAAGAAAAAGTGATTAGTGCGTGGCAAAATAAGTGGAACTTATCGGAATCTAAATTAAAAGAAATTAAATCGACAGTGAAACCGTGGCGCCTAGTAAACTTAAAAAGAGCTGACCAAGTCAAAATTTCTCGACTGCGATTAGGTCATACCAATATTACTCATAAGCACCTAATAAGTAAAGAAGACATTCCAGTGTGTGATTACTGTCAAGTCAATATTACTGTTAAACATCTCCTAACAGAATAAGGAAAATATACAGACAAAATAACAATATTTCCAGTGACTTAAAAACAGTATTAGGTGAACATTTAAATACTAAAAACTTAATTAGATTTCTAAAAGAAACATCTTTATATAATTTAATATAATGTAGTAACTAATGTAAACTAATGTCGCTAATGACCCAGGTGGTTGAAGCGACTATTATTAGTAAATAAAAAATAAATCTTATATTAAAAATAGAGAATTTAATAGATCTCAAATATGTAAACACGCATGGGATAATGAACATAGGGTTCAATGGAATGATTCAAATATAGTCCTAAAAGAAACAAATGGTAAAATGAGTATGGTAAAAGAGACAAATGAGACCAATTTTATCGCAAATTCCTCAGTAGAATGCAGTAGGATCTGGTTACTCACATTAAAAGAGGAAGTTAAAAAGAAAATACCACTATTAGTAGTATACAGCATTTACGTGTTTTGCGTTTATTGAGAGTAAACAAAATGTAACACCAAATACTTATCATGTCGGGATAGTATTGGGAGGTCTTTTTCCTGCTTTTTTCCTCATGATTTACTACGGAATCACTAACGGGAGAATTTTACTGTCATCATGGCATGTGGTTGTCTTTAAAAAGACGAATTACATGCTATGATTTTTTCTGACAGATATTCTCAAGTTATAGTTGATTTCATGTAATCGAATGAACTATCTTACAATAAAGTCGTCCCAGGAACGCAACTCAGAAATATTGACAGTATCATTTTAAAGTCTTCTACTTCAAAATGTACAATATATGTCTGAATTGTCAATATAAATGAGTCAGACATAATTAAAGTATTAAAAGAAGTTTTCACCAAGTAACAAAAAACAGAATTTGTTTAATTGATTATTGTTTGTATTTTGAGAATGATTTCCGAAGTGAAACGTCAATAATTTTTTTTAACCTTCAATTAACCGACTAAAATGGTAGTTAACGAATTTAGCATCGGACTATAAGAGAAACTAATTTAAATATGTATGTATTTATATTATATTTTGATTATCAGTAGTAATATCCCTGATATTATCTAAATAATGAAAATTGTGAGAGGTGAAAAGTACGAACTTTTAAGAAACATCATGCAGGGCAAAATTAAGGGCAAAAGAAGTGTGGGAAGAAGAAAAATATCGTGGCTTCGTAATCTACGTGAATGGTTCGGGTGTAGTTCGATTGAACTTTTTAGGCGCGCTGCTAACAAAGCCGCAGTGGCCATGATGATTTCCAATCTCCGCTAGGAGTGGCACGAGAAGAAGAAGAAGTAATATCCCTAGGACATTGATAACAGACGAGATAATTTCATTACAATGTGCTGTTACCAAGCAACGAGCTTGAGAATTTTGTCATGAAATTATGAGGCATTCATCAATGTCCGAGGGAAATTCGGCGGATAATTTTTCGAAAAAAAAATCATAACTCAACATAACGAAACATTTATTTATTAAAAGTACAATTAGTAAAAGTACAATTATTAAAATTTAAGTTAACATTAGATTCGTTGCTGTTCTCTACTATAGAAGATCTATTACCACGCATAATATTTATAATCTTGTTGTGGTGTTCTTGATCGAGATTCAAGTATGGTTTTATAGAATTCTATTTTATTATATTATATTTTATAGAAACGTGACATTTTGAAATTTATTTGGATGAAGTTGTCAAACTCGATCGTGTTGTCATAGGGATTGAAAATTGCACTGAATGCAATTATCAGTCTAATGTTGACATGATTGGGTAAAATTGTTCCACATGACACAAAATGACGAAATTTGAATGGATGTTAGAACAGTCGAAAAATTATCAATGAAAAAATACTACAGGATTCCAAATAAAAAACATATTAATAAAAAATAAATTTATTTAATTAAATAGTACAACTTTGGCATTAGATAAAAATATGTGTATATAAATTAATTACATAATTACATTATATACAATTGGACAAAAGTATTGTCGTTAAAATTACTAGAAAAATAGTTTTGTATAAGTATAATACAAATTTTAAATTACTGAAAATTTCAATAACTACCAGTAAAATTGATATGTCTCACAGTTTCAGTCTTAGAAAGCAGAGTGTACAAATTTTAGTTTTTAACAATAAAAGGGCTTTCAGTTATATTAAAAAAAAATAGTTAAAACTTGTTCGAGTATTAAAGTTAATTACATTGGAGACATGGTTTAAATTAAAACTGATATAAATAATAGACAGATTTTTACTAATATCATCTCAATGAATAAAAATATTAAATAATTGTCAAAAATTAGTATGACTATATACACTCACCATTTAACACAAATTAATTAAGTCAATGTTCACTATCATCTGTATTAGTAACGTCGATATCAATATCTTCACAACTGGATACAGAACCCTTTGGCGCCCTTGATCCAGAACAAGTTTTAAAACAACAACACTTCCCAGAATTAGAGTGATGGGAACCAGCCGGTAGATCTTCTTTCTTGTACTTAACCCTCCTGTTTTGAAACCAAATCTTCACTTGTTTTTCGGAAAGTCTTAAAGTTGTAGCTATTTCTATCCTGCGTAATCGGGAGAGATACATATTTGAGGAGAATTCTCTCTCCAACTCTAGCAGTTGCGTACTAGTAAAAGCTGTCCGTATTCGTTTACTCGAATCCTTAGATGGAGGAAATCCACTGGGAGGTGAAGGTGTATTTTCTCTGCTGTCTGCTTCCTTCTTACACAACACGGGGCTTCTTACGGGTGAAGTTGGCTCCGGAGAGGTAGTTAAAGTTGTATCCTGATCCAAAAACGGTAGCACTCTCGGTAGGGACGCCACTGGTCGCACTGGTGGTTTGGGTTGAAATTGTTGATATAAAAACTGTTGTTGTTGCTGCTGTTGACGAGCCAAATTAATAGAAAACAAATAACTGCTTATATAATTCGGCGGATACGGGAACGTAGGGTGGCATGGTGGCGGTAGCTCTTTAGGAACGTTGCCTATCAGCGAATCGACTAAAAACGATCTAGACATATTCATCATCACAACGAAAATAACAAACTAACGAGGGAATTGGTAGGGTAGGCTTTTATATGCCCCCTCTTTTAACATAAGGGTTTCTTTCACCCTGTAAGGACGAAGGTGCATTGTTTGGGGCCCCGCCTCGTACCGGCCCTATTGAAATTCAACCAGATTGTAACTAGTGGGCATTGTAAATAAATTATGTACTTACTTTTAAAGGATCGATTGTGTAAATATTAACTTTGTGTTTAAACTGGTTGAGGTAATCCGAAGAGAGTTGGTTTATTTTGAGGTAGCGTGCAATTTTTGTTGGTTTATTCGGTTCCAGTAAATCAATCTTATCTTCTTAAATGTAATTAATTATAATGTGCATATAAGAAAATTTATAATTTTTATTTTGCTTTTATAAAGTCGATTTTCAGTTTATAGTCTACGGGCAATTAAACCACTTGAAACCTAATCTTCCACACGATAATCCGAATTTTTGTGCAGGAATTTGTTATTAACGATTTAATTGTTTTAATGCTTTCTTCTTCTTCTTCTTCTTCTTCGTCTAGCCATTCACGTCCACATCTGAACATAAGCCTCTTCAAGTCTTCCTTTCCATTGTTTTTTATTGTACGCTACTTGTAGCCAATTTTTCCCGGCAGTCCTTTTCAGATCATCTGTCCATCTCATAGGAGGTCTGCCTCTGGGTCTTTTGTGTTGGTATGGTCTCCAGGTTAAAATTGATCTGTGCCATTTGTTTAGATCGCTCCTAGCTACATGTCCAGCGTATTCCCATTTCAGCTTTAATGCTTTTTGCACCACATCGGTGACTTTGGTTTTCTGTCTTATCCATGTGTTTGTTTTCTTGTCCTTAAGTGATATACCTAGCATTGCTCTTTCCATCGCGTGTTGAGTGACTCTAAGTATATTCATATTCTTTTTTGTGATTGTCCATGTTTGTGCCGCATAAGTTAATATCGGAATAATGCATGCATCAAAAACTTTAGATCTAAGATGTAATTGAATTTGTTGATTTCTGAGTATATAGTTCAGTTTACCGAATGCTGCCCAAGCTAACTTTCTTCTTCTTTTTATTTCTTCAGTCTGAATTTCCCTATTTAGGATTATTTTTTGTCCCAAGTATATATATTCTTCAACTTTTTCTATAACTTTATCGTTTATTATTGTCACGGTGTCTTCGGAGTGCATGACTTTTGTTTTGTTTAAATTCATTTTCAGTCCTATTTTAGAAGATTCGGTATGAAGTTCTACAAGCATGGTTTGCATTTCTTGTAGGTCAGTAGCTATCAGGATTATGTCATCTGCAAATCGTAGATTACTGAGGTAGCGGCCATTGATGTTTATTCCCTTATATTTCCAATTTAGGTTTTTAAAAACGTCCTCCAAAACTAAGGTGAACAGTTTGGGTGATAAAGTATCTCCCTGTTTGACTCCCCTGTTTAGTGGTACAGGGTTCGTGTGTTCATTTTCATTTAGGTAGTATGTAGCTGTAGCTTGGTTCATAGTTTCTTTTATTAAGTTAATATATCTGCTGTCTATTCTACAATTTTGCATTGCGTTTATTACGGCCGTGTGTTCTATGGTATCGAAAGCTTTTTCATAGTCTACAAATGCAAGGAAAACTGGAAACTTGTATTCGTTACATTTTTCTATTAATATTTTTGTGGTTAACAGGTGATCGGAAGTTGAATAGCCTTTTCTAAAACCTGCCTGTTCATATGGTTGGTATTCGTCTAATTTCCTTGTTAGTCGAGTAGTTATGACTTTGGTGAGTATTTTAAACAGGTGTGACAATAGGCTGATGGGTCTGTAGTTTTCCAATTTTCGACTATCACCTTTCTTGTGCAATAAGATTACTTTAGAGTTGTTCCAGCTCTTAGGGACTTTGCCCTGATGTAAACAACTGTCCACAAGCTTAGTTACAATTGCAATTAGTTCCTGACCTCCTTCTAATATCATATCTGTGGTAATACTATCTTCTCCTGCAGCTTTATTTCTCTTCATGTTTTCCAATGCTGTAGTTACCTCTGAAATTGTTACTTTTGGCATTATTTCTGATCCAACATTTTTTATTAATTTCCGTGCTGGTCTCATCTCATCATCTTGTTGATGTGATCTGTAAAGTTCTGTGTAAAATTCTTCTATTCGTGTCAGTATGTTTTCTCTACTTGTGATTTCATTTTCGTCTTTTCCTATTAATGATATCATCTGACGTCGTCCTAGTGTCGGTCTGAGACATTTCATACTCTTATTTTTTTCAATAGTTGTTGTTATTAATTTTTCGTTTTCTTTTCTTTTTTGTTGTCTGATTCCTTTTCTAATCTGCCTATTAAGTTCTCTATATTCGTCGGTTCCCCTTTTGTTAGATTTATTTAAGATCTTCCTTCTTTCTATTTGTTGTAATATTTCTTTGTCTAATTCATTGTATGTTGTTTTCGGTTTTTTCAGTTGCAGAAGGCTTTTATTCACTGTTTCGGTAATAAGGTTATTCAAATCATCAATATCATTGGAGTTTATCTGCTGCATGCTAACTTGATTTAATGCATGCACTATCTTTTTATTAAATTCACTATTTTTGATTTCTTCAGATGTCCATGTGTATCTTTTTTCATGTATTCTTTTTCTTTCTAGTTTTTTGTTAATTACTAGTTTTGTTCTTATTAGTCTATGATCGCTTCCTAGGTCAAACTGATTTAATACTGATACGTCTTCTACTAGGTTTCTATTCTTCGTTAAGATATAATCTATTTCATTCTTTGTCTTTTTATCGAACTTATCCATGTCCATTTTCTGCTTGGTTTTTTATTGAAAAAGGAGTTCATTGAGTACATGTTATGTTCATTCATGAAATTGAGAAGCATTTCTCCTCTATCGTTTCTTTTCCCGTAGCCATAGTTACCAATTAAATGTTCATAATCTTCCTCTTTTTTGCCCAATTTAGCATTAAAATCTCCTAATAGTATTTCGTAATTTGCTTTATTTGTTTAATGCTTATAACTAACAAACTAATAAAGATTTTTTTAAAAGCGTTTAAAAAATCAAACCAACCAAACTTCGGAAAATTAAAATCAATCCATTAGAAGCCAAAATATTGCAAATTTATTATTAAAAAATAACAAAATATCAACTAGGTATATCTATGATGACCATATGAGGAGCAGACTTTCAAATCGCACTTTGTCCATATTTTCACTTTTTGACTTAGAGGTGGCGTTAGGATTAGTCAAAACATCATTTATTAATTTACATACTCCTAGATATTCTAAACGTAATATTTCACGTATATTTTTGGCTTCAAAAATCACTTAGACAAACAAAACGCATTTTGTCCAGTAGCGAGAGACAAACAAATAGCGCTATTTTGCTTGCATTGCTTTTTTACTATTTAACGACTTTATTTTGTTGTGAGACGTTGATTTAGGAATCAACAGTATCTGATATTATTCGTGCTTAATAGGTTGTTTTTATAATAATAGGTGATAATAGTATTAAAATGAGTGGAGGTGAGCATATTGTAGGTGATACAAATAGAAGAACGAGAAAAAGAAAAATAAATACTACGGCAAAAGAACGTAAGAGAGAAATAAGGTAAACTACAGGTTATGTTGTGTTTTTGTGGTTTAACTTGTTTTCTTTTAGATATTCAGATTTAGATCCAGAGTTATTAAATTTTAAAAATAATTGTGTTCACAAATCAAAAAAATTTGCATGAACAGATCTTTTGTTGGCCGACATAAAAATTATTAGACAAAATTTCTATGATAATGAAGAAAAGAACAAAAATGCTCAGGATAACAAATTAGCACAGATGATGAATATTAAGGAAATAAAAAGGCAAAGGAAGAGAAAGAATGGTAAATCACATGATTTTCACACAGAATTTTATGTAAGTTTTTATTTAAATAAACCAAGCTTTAGCATCAGTACATATTTATTTTTCGATTACACTTTGTAAGGTCTCTGATTGAGTATTTTTTAGGTTTGGCATAATAGCAAGAAAATCTTTGTTTGCCAAAAATTATTTTCCTCTATTTTTAATTGTGGTCCAAGAAGAATTCATACGATAGTGAGAAAAAAGATGCTTGGCACTAGTATAAAAGACAATCGTGGTGGAGACAGAAAGTCCAAGAAAAATGCGCTTAAATTAGAAAGTGTCATGAAATTTATTTCGTCTTTGAAGGGCCATGAAAGCCACTATGGTAGAGGCAAGTCAAGAAGAATCTATTTGTCATCTGAGTTAAACATAAAAAAGCTGTGGGAGATGTATAATGATCAGATTCCAGATAATTCACTCCAAACAAACTACAAGTACTTTAGTCGAATTTTCAGCAATAAGTTTAATATAGGTAGATATTATTAAAAAAATGTTTTTTATTTTTTACTAAGTTGCCCGTTTGTTTTAGCCTTTGGAAGTCCAGCTACTGATGTTTGTGGCTTTTGCATAAGAACAAACACTGAGATAAATACCACCAAGGATGAAGAGCAAAGATTAAAATTAAAAATGGATTTAACTATTCATAAGACGCGAGCAAAGCAGTTTTTTAAATCAATGAAAGAGGAATCTGCTGATAGCGTGACATATTGCTTTGATCTTCAACAGGTCCAAAATCTTCCAAAGGCGCCTATTACGGAAGCATTCTATTCTCAGCAACTGGCTTTTTATGCATTTTGTGTGACAGATATTTTAACAAAAACTCCTGTTTTTTATACATGGCTTGAGCATGAAGCAGGAAGAGGTGTGGTAGAAATAAGTTCTGCGTTGACTGACTTTCTAAAAAAGACTGATTTTGACCCAGATATTAAACATTTAAGATTGTTTTCGGACGGATGTGGGGGTCAAAATAAAAATTCCCACATGGTACATGCACTCACCTTGTGGCTTTTGAATAATGCCCCAAAAACTATTCAAACACTTACGATGACATTTCCCGTTCGTGGCCATTCGTTTATGCCAGCTGATCGAGTTTTTGGTCAAGTTGAGCTAGACTTACGTGCCCATGCTT